GAGAGATAAGAGAGGAAAGAAATGTAATGTGACCAAATTGGAAGAGGATAGGGTGCCAAAGAGAAAAAAAAAATCAAGGGAAGTGTGGGGATGCCGCGTGAGTGCCAAAGAAATGCCAAGGGAGTCAAGGAGCGAGAGTGCCAAGGTGGACCCCAGGAGGATGCTGGCAGTGTATCCTGAGAGGAAGGTGTCCTTTCCTTTCTTTCAGTACTATGACGCCAGGTAAGTCTTGCTTGATTCTGGGTCACTGGGTGGAAGAGTGATCTTGAATTCGGTGTAAGTTATGTGCGTCTGCGTGTGTGTGTGTGTGTGTGTGTGTGTGTTTGTATGTGTGTGTGTGTGTGTGTGTGTGTGTGTGTGTGTGTGTGTGTGTGTGTGTGTCTGCATGTCTTTCTATCTGTCTCTGTTTACTTATCCGTCTGTCTGTCTGTCTATATGTTTATGTTTGTATGTGCCTCTGTATCTATATGCTTTTATGTATAACAGTGTTTTTTGCACACATCGCACAAACGAAACGAGTACAAAGGAGCTAAAGATATCTCGACAATCTTCAAAAGTAAAAACATTAAAAAAAAACAGACATATACAAGTCAGACTGCAAAATAGGCAAAAGTTTCTCAGCAAGATAAGCCCAGCCCGGAAAGATCTCTACTGTTGATCTGCAAATGAAGTTCTTATCTATGCAGCCATCAAAACATTGCGATGCGATCAAACGATATATATAAATGTGTGTTTGTGTGCGTGCGTGCGTGTGCGTGTGTGTGTGTGTGTGTGTGTGTGTGTGTGTGTGTGTGTGTGTGTGTGTGTGTGTGTGTGTGTGTGTGTGTGTGTGCGTATATATATAACTTTTCTGGAACAAAAATTTCTTTAGTCTAAAGGAAATCAATACCAATGAATATGTTTTTGTTGTTCTTATTCAGCATGTTAATTACTCTCCAGAAGAACAGGAAATGACAGTTAACGAGGCAGGAAATTTTCTTCCCTGTAATTAGTACCTTGAAATGTTTATTCTAATGACATAACGGCGAATAAAGGTGTCATTCGTTAATTAAGTATGTGATAATGTCTTGTTTCAGCAAATCACTCAATTAACCTGCATTAGTAATGAGGTATTCTTAAGTGTGCATTGGTTATGAGGTATGCCTGGTTGCAACCTATACATTGAAGCACATTGCATCATCATCAAAACAAGTATGATTCTACGAACATCAAATTCACTTTTAAATTTTATGTGACACTTCTTGCCACAGATGACACCAGTTACTACTTGCGATGCCACTAATGACAGGTGACACTCGTAATTTCAAGTGACACCAGTTGTTATGCCACCAGTGACACCACAGATGTCACCGCTAATAGTAAATAGCACTATTACCTATAGGTGATGCCATAATTAATACCAAGAAACCATGAATCATTAATTCCATCGCTAGCATCGTGAATTTAGCGTATGTGACACCTCAGCATCTGTGACAACGCAAACTGGCAGTGACACCAATAGCCAGCCTGACAGTTTAAGTGTAAAGTGTCACAGAGTATCGTCACACACTCATTACTTAACCGGAAGTCCGTGTGCCGACTCCACCCTCTCTGCCCCCCCCGCTCCCCCAGCCCACCCCCCACTCACCCCGCCACCTCCCTCCTCCTCCATTTATTCGACTCTCGACCTTTGACCTCGAGGGAATAAAATCTAGAAAGGAATAAGAAGGAAAACAATAAAAAGAACAAAGATAAATAGTTGGCAGTTTTGTTTTTGTGTTTTAATGTTCGTAGTTCTTTCGAAAGTTTTGAGATAATTTTGCCAGATTGTAAACACAAAAGAAAGAGAGAGAGGAGGGGAAGGGGGAAAGAGAAAAAGAAAGTGAGAGAGAAAGAAAGAGAAAGAGAGAAATAAATATATATCTTCCTATCCTAAACAATACAAGAAGAAAGAAAGAAAAAGTGAAAAGGAGAGAGAGAAAGGGAGAAAGAGGAATAGAGGGCATTGCGTACCAAACACTCAACAGCCACTTCCTGGAACAACCGTCACACTCATTAATAATTCGCTTCCTGAGTACTAAAGCATCACGACCCCTTCGCCCCTTCCAATATCCCTGTCAATAATGCTGTTTGTCAAGCTGCTTCTTCGTCTCATTATCAGGAAGTTATCGTTGCTTCCATCCTCATTACCAATAGCATCGGCATCCTGCATTATTCCTGTTTTGGACATGGGTTTCTCACGCTCCAACGTCGGGGGGAGGGGAGGTAGGGAGAACAGCCGAAATACCGCCCGTCTAACTTGATTTCCACTGTCATGCATCGTTTCAAGCAGCGGTATGCTATCAACAACACTGTCAGATAGTTGCTAACAGTTATCATATTCACAACAATCTCAGTCTATTTTATCGTCACTTTCGGCCTCAAAATGCCACTTCCTTATCGCCACTATCATCCGACATCACCATTAGAACTCATTATAGAGGTGTCAGTAAATACAATGACAGCCATTTTCTTTTTCTTTATTCTTTTTTTTCTTTCTCTCTGCGTCTCCGCCCTTCCTTCTCTGCATCATCCAGACCTGTCAAGGAGGAAAAAGCGTAATGCATTTAGTGAAAAGGAATTAGCGGGGAAAAAATGTCTTTGTGCACAGCGGAACCTGAAGATGTCACGGATCAGCTGATGTGCAACAAAGGTAGCAATGTGCATCACCCGTGTGCAACAAAGGTAGCAGTAAAGTTAGTCACAGAGATTGGGTTTTAATGGTGGGGCAGGAGTGGAGGGAGGGATACGAGCGCAATTTCAAAGCGCTGAGCAGATAACTGAAAGGCTCCCTATTTTGAGTTTAAGTTGCTATGATAGGGTTATCTTCTTTATGAGAAAAGGTGTCAAAGTTAACTTGCTAATGACATCGCCTTTTTTTTTTTTTTTTTTTTTTTTTTTGGGGGGGGGGGGGAATGTTATCGTACAGAGAAATTTGATACGGTTTATGAGATGTCCGGTATTGGTCGTGTGGATACGGTGTGTACACAGGCATTGTATTTTAAGTTGTATAGTACAGAGTGGGCGCGCGCCTGTGTGTGTGTGTGTGTGTGTGTGTGTGTGTGTGTGTGTGTGTGTGTGTGTGTGTGTGTGTGTGTGTGTGTGTGTGTGTGCACCACATGATTATATCGACACACCTGACTAGTGTGTCTAAACAGATTCATTGGAAATGGTTATTTAAACAACTGCAGATACTGAGAATAACATTTTATTTCACATAAACTCAAAGATTTTCTGTTGATTTACGTGTAAATGCATTCACAAGTGCTAAATAAATACGGAGCAAATCTTAAAATAAGCATTCATATCTATATCTTACCCTCTGTCTACATGAACTATTTCTCTATCGTTATATCTACTTGTCCATCTATTTTTAGACAGGTAGACAGACAAGCAGACAGTCTGACTGATAGGTAAATAGACAAAGAGACAGATTCGTAGATATATTTACAGATGTATAGACAGATCAATAGATAGATAGATTTACATATATGTAGATAGATAGATAGATTTACAGACATGTAGATAGATCGATAGATAAATAGATAGAAAGTAGATGAACAGATAGACAAATAGACAGAAAATCATATGAATAGATACATAGACAAATAGAAAATCATATGGATAGATACACAGACATGTAGTCAAAATTAATAGCTAGCTACATAAACAGATATGAATTCAAACAAAAAATGCATATTAGTAAAAAAAAAAGTGTTAACTACATACTAATAAGAACATATAAAGAAGCAACGGCGTGCCTTGCCTTCCTTACATGAGGATACTCGACTTAGAATACAAATGTAAACACATACACTGAAACGCACGTGAGTTCACATAGATATTAACACATGCATCAAGGGAGAAACGATGTAATGCAAAATATATATATGATAAGGAGACTAAAGGTGAGAGAAAAAGAGAGAAAAAAAGCCATAGAGGATTGTATATTGAAATATATATAGAGATATATGAACAATAGATATTTGTAAAAGAGAGGAAAGAATAAAACGTGTAAAAAATCGACTTACTGTTACATTAAACCCCATTTCTACGCACTATCACGCGATACAAAAAAGTGCTAGCAGTCAATAAGCTCAAGGAGGATCCAAGAGCATTAAGGGGGATCCAGTAGTACAAGAGAGGACCCAGAAGTGGAGGAAGAGGATTGAATGCCTTCGAAAGATTCTTCCGCGAAAGGATCCCTACTTGTTGCTTATGCCAGCTGGGGGAGAGAAAGGCGATTCCAGAATTATAATGAAGAAGAAAAAAATAACGGTTTTAATCACGAAGATCGCCTTTAGAGAGTTCAAAGGCCTTTCAAGCATAGACGATGTTCGGCAAAGCGGGTTTTAATCATCAACAAACTTCCCTTGGGATTCATTAGTGGACCGAAAGAGCTTGGAGAGGAAGAGTGAGCAGGATCAATCAACTCTTCGGGAAAAAAAAGGAGACCTGAGGAAGAACGAGTAATTAAGACGACGTCGCTAAAGAAGGGAGGGAAGTGAAGGGGAGACGAAGAGGAGAAAAGAGAAATCATTCTTTCTTTCTCTCTATTTTTTTACGTGTAGTTGACGAGACGAGTCGAGTTGTCAAGGAAACTGAATGGGCGAACAATAAGAAAGTTTACCCAGGATGACAACTGTTGATGTGGGTCGTACGCGGACTCGGTTCTGTATTTGGTGGGTTATTTTTGGTCGTTTTTGGTCGTTTGGGTTAGTCTCTTTGGTCGTTTTTGGAGAGTCAGTTTGTTCGTTTTGGTTGTTATTTGGTGAGTCGTTTTGGTCGTTTTGGTTGTTTTTTGGTGAGTCGTTTAGGTCGTTTTGGTTGTTTTTTGGTGAGTCGTTTAGGTCGTTTTGGTTGTTTTTTGGTGAGTCGTTTTGGTCGTTTTGGTTGTTTTTTGGTGGGTCGATTTGGTCGTTTTGGTCACACACACAGCTTCGAGTCGTCGTTGTGTCGTGGCGTCTCATTATTTTGGCGGTGTGATTATATTTGTTTTCTTGTATGGAGATGTTTGTAGGGGGTTGTATTGGCATGTATATACTTGTAATGTGTGTGTGTGTGTGTGTGTGTGTGTGTGTGTGTGTGTGTGTGTGTGTGTGTGTGTGTGTGTGTGTGTGTGTGTTTGTTTGTTTGTTTTGTGAGTATCCGCGTGTATGGTAGAATCATAGAAAAAGACAGGGTCGTAGATAATATAGAGATAG